AGGTAGCCTGTAACTAAAATAAGCCAGTGAATATCCTTATAGATATCATCAAGCATTTTGTTGTCAATAGTGCTTGAACCTGGTGAAGCAAGTAATTGTTGCTGATGTTGTTGTAATTGACCATGAAGCTTGTTACTCTTTCTTCTAATAAACTTGTCAGAAGAGGTATACTGTGTTCTGCAGCAATTCTTCCTAGCATTCCTACACTGGCCAGTTGATCTGGAAACTGGTCTCACTCATCCTTTTGAAGTTCACTTATTTCTTCTTCCTCACAAGAGGCCACACCATTGGCAGTCAAATTCCTTGTGCCATCTGGAGCAGCTAGGTGGCACTGAATGTAGGAATTGAAAACTTAAACTGCATGTTGGGTAAAAAAGCCTTTGTGGAAATGTTTGTCATCTTGCACCAAAGTTAGCCAGGACTCCAACAATTTATCATATGCTTCCAAGTATACGATGTCATCTTTATCAAGCACTTCTTCCAATGCAGCATATCAACCAAAAGAACAAGTGAGGTGTTTGAGGCAGTTAACAAAGGAGGAGAAATGTTCACTTGGAATGGCAGTTAAAACATTCTGTCGGAACATGGTTATGAGGCTGCTGATAATGCTGGAGATCCCCACAGTTTCAGAATCTTCTATGTCAATTCCATTGATAGTATTCAGTAACCTCTCAATGAAGTGTGCTAATCAACTTGTGATCCTTCATCAGGGAAGATGAGTCCATGAAGAGAAGCTAAATGGGCAAGGCGCTGAAGAGAATCTTACGCCACATCTGAATCTTCTCTGATTTTACAATGTACTGTGAAGAAAAGCTCCATGTTGAAATACTGAAGACATCTGAGCATTGACGTTTTCCCGCCTGCTGAACTCCTGCAGAACTTCAACAGTTAACAGGAAGATCTAACAAGATCTTCTTCCTGAAAAACTCTTTTGCAGTTCATGGAATTCCATGCTCAATCCAATGTTGCTAGTTTTACTTGAACTTGAAAATTCACTCAATAGTGTAGTCAGAATAGAACAGGCCTGAGTTTGCACAGTGGCATTGCCACTACTTATCTAATGTAGTGATTTATCTAATGATCCTCCATTTACAATTACTGCTACTGCTGGTAGAATCTGTTCCTGAACATACTTTTGAAGGTTGGACCTTGTAAGACATAGGTTTAAAAGGAATGTTTGCCGGGCATGGTGGCTCACGCCTGCCATCCTAGCACTTTGGGAGGCCAAGGTGGGTGGATCACCTAGCTCAGGAGTTCAAGACCAGCCTGGCCATCATGATGAAACCCCATCTTAAAAACAAAAAAGGAAAAGGAATGTTCACAGAGACTCCATGCTCCCTTTTTCCAAGATAATCCACTCTCAAACAACTGCTTCCATTATGGCTGTGGCAGCTTGAAAAAGGACATAGTCCACTTTACTAGTTTCTGATCTTTTTTTTTTTTTATCGAGTGACCTTGCTCTAGCACTACAAAGAGATTAGTTTCCATCAGAAGACACCTCAGGCAGGTGGCAGCTAATCACCAATCACAGTTTTCACAAACTTTCCTTTCCTCTCTTCAACCGTTACTTCCAAAGCATGAAGAACAAAAATATGTTTGCTCACTGCAAACGATGATTTTGGTTTGGTAAATGATAAGAATATGTGCTCTGCATGCTGGCGTTGTTCATTATTGATCATGGAAGGTGGTGCCATCAGAACGTTAGCCACGCTCTCCAGCTGAGCGACCACTTCTGGAGGCGCAGCGCCGCCGCCATCATGGTCTCTCTGCAAAGACGCGCCACGCGCTGCATTCTGGGAGTGAGCGCAAATGGCCACAGCGACCCGGGAACCTCATGCGCTCCCAGGGCCGTCGCAGCCGCAGTCGACGCCGGCGTCGCGGCCTTGGCGGGTCTGGCCCGGCTGCTGGTTCTGGGTGGCGGGGAGAGGACTAGCGTTGAGCCGGGCCGCGCGCTGGGGCGGGGTCAGCCGTAGCGGGCGCCGGGCCAGGCAGGGGCGGTCTGCTCAGACGCCGACAGCCGCGCCACCCAGCTCAGAATAGAATTCTTATTTGCAGGATTGTTGGTAAGTGCAAAAAGATTTTTGCACCTAACAATTTATAGTTTTATGTTTCACCTGCTACAATAATAGAAAAATATATGGAATGGACTAGGGAGACAATAAAGAATAATGGCAAACTAAAAGTAAGACAATTGGATACTAATCTTTGTATATGAATTCATTCCCAGCCCTCTCATTAGGTCTGTGACTTTGGAAAAATTATTTAACCTCTCAGAAGAAAGACCTGTGTTTGAATCATAATCTCAGAAAACACAATCCCAAACATCATAACCTCAAATGTTGAAATCCCAAAAGCTCAAAATCCCTAAAATCTAAATCCCAAAAGTATAAAATTCATGTCTAAACTTCTGAAAATCAAATCTCAAAATTAAATGTAAATAAACATATTTAAAAGAATTGTTTATCATTTTTTCCAGAATTATATTTTTGGGATTTTGATCTTTTGGGATTTCAGCATTTGAGATTATGGCACTGGATTGTGCCTTTCAGGATTATGATGAACCCCTGATGGAACTAATAGTTTTCTTGCCAGGTATTTTATGTAAATTCATCGATGCATCCATGTGCTTTTTTCCTAGATCATCTTGTCTGATTTTCCAAAGTTCCTCTTTCTAGGTCCTGAACTAGGTCCCAAGAGTATGTATCTTTGTTTCTGACCACATCTCCTTCCTTAAAAAGGTTATACGGCTTGAAGCTCTGCCCACTGGGGGGAATGTCCCTTAGTGCCACTCCTAAGTGAGCTCTAGTGCAATAGAAGTCCATTTTCAGCTGATACCAGCATATTAAGCCATCGGATAGACCAGTCCTGAGATTTTTCATCCTTTATTAGCCGATTGTAGGAAACACCCCATGAGATAATAGATGTAAGCTGAGAAGGCAATGTTAGTGCAACATAGAAAGGTACCATAGGGGTCTAAGCCACCTGGTCATGTAACTTACCTGGTATCTTGGAGTTTGGGGGGTTTTTCTGTTTTTTGTTTTTTTGAGACAGAGTCTCCCTCTGTCACCCAGGGAGGAGTGCTGTGGTGCCATCTCAGCTCACTGCAACCTCCCTGCCTCCGCATTAGCTAGGATTACAGGTGCCCACTACCATGCTCTGCTAATTTTTTTGTATTTTTAGGAGAGACAGGGTTTCACTATGTTGGCCAGGCTGGTCTCAAACACCCGACCTCAGGTGATCCACCCCTCGGCCTCCCAAAGTGTTGGGATTACAGGTGTGAACCACCACGCTGGGCCTTACCTGGTATCTTGTTTTCAATTTGCCTTTCCCTGCTTCACAGTGGAAGCAACATAGTTTTGAGACCAGTTTCTCAACCCCATTAGAAAATGGACAAAGGACATGACTAGACACTTCGCAAAAGAAGACATTTATGCAGCCAACCAACATGTGAAAAAACCTTAACGTCAGTGATCATTAAAGAAATGCAAATCAAAACCACAATAAGATACCATCTCATGCCAGTCAGAATGGCAATTAACAACAGATGCTGGCAAGGCTACAGAGAAATAGGAATGCTTTTACACTGTTGGTGGGAATGTAAATTAGTTCAACCATTGTGGAAGACAGTGTGGTGATTCCTCAGACCTGGAATCAGAAATACCATTTGACCCAGCAATCTCATTACTGGATATATACCCAAAAGAATATAAATCATTCTGTTATAAGGATACATGCGTGCCTATGTTCACTGCAGCACTATTCACAATAGCAAAGACTGGGAATCAACCCAAATGCCCATCAATGATAAACTGCATAGAGAAAACGTGGTACATATATACCATGAAATACTATGCAGCCATAAAAAAAGAATGAGATTATGTCCTTTGCAAGGACATGGATGGAGCTGGAAGCCATTATCCTCAGCAAACTAATGCGGGAACAGAAAACCAAACACCGCATGTTCTCACTTGTAATTGGGAGCTGAACAATGTGAACTCATAGACATAGAGAGGGGAACATCACACACTGGAGCCTGTTGGTGGGGGAGGCAGATAAGGGGAGGGAGAGCATCAGAAAAAATAGCTAATGCATGCTGGTTTAACACCTAGGTGATGGGTTGATGGCACATGTTTACCTATGTAACAAGCCTGCACATCCTGCACATGTACCCTGGAACTAAACTAAAATAAAGTAAAATAAAGTAAGAAACCAGTTTCTTTCTATACAGGAAGTATCAAAAAAAAGTCCATGAAATTTTGGATCACTTTCATATCATATTCACAATTACTTAAGGGACTAATTTATGTTTGCCTTATATACAAAGAACACATGACTTAGTTCTTCTAAGAACCATGTTGTAACAAACTAAGTTTATCCAGCCTAATATAATGCTGAAAGTAAAATTAGTGCTAAGGCTTATTTTAATTTTTAACTTAAGATCATCATAGTAGAAAAGTGACTTAAAAATCCTTTTCACCCACCACCCCAAACTAGGAAAATACACCTGCATGTTATATATAAGATGAAACATAATACACTGGTTTTTAATGCAAAATGTATCAAACATATAAAATAATTTTAGAAGGATGAGTTCATGTCCTTTGCAGGTACATGGATGAAGCTGGAAACCATCATTCTCAGCAAACTAACACAAAGACAGAAAACCAAACTCCGCATGTTCTCACTTATAAGTGGGGGTTGAGCAATGAGAACACATGGACAGAACACATGGACACAGGGAGGGAAACATCACACACGGGAATCTGTCGGGGGTGGGGGGCAAAGGGAGGGAGAGCATTAGGAGAAATACCTAATGTAGATGACGGGTTGATGGGTGCTGCAAACCACCATGGCACGTGTATACCTATGTAACAAACCTGCACGTTCTGCTCATGTATCATAGAACTTAAAGTAATAAAAAAATTTAAAAATTTAAAAATCTACATGCTATCAAATCCAAGAAGGATCATTAAGATCATTTACTAATTTTACATTCTTACTTTCTTCCTTCTTCAACGGTTTCCCTGTGCTTTGATGGGTCAGGTCAGTAGTGGTGGGGCTGGGAATGACAGGCTTGATGGGACGGATTTGCTGTTGCCCCCAGTGAGCCACTCCTCTGCTGACCTCCAGGGTTAACTGGATCATACGGTTGATGGCTTGTTGAATGTCATCCAAACTAGGAATCATTACCTGTGGAAAGAAGAAACAAATGTTAATACTGCCAGGTCATACAGTCCATCCCTCGATTTTCATCACCTCCATTCCCCACTGAGTGGGCCAAGCCTCGGCTGGCCCAGTAGAAGGCTGATTTGAGGGGAAGAATGATAGAGGAGGATTGGCGGGGGGGGTGCAGATTTTCTCTACCCTGAAGTTTTCCTGTTCTGTCAATTCCTACAGGCCTCATTACACCACGAGCTAATGCAGAAGTAACTTTTTAATAACAAATACAAATGACATTTTGATTTTGTTAAAAAGGTCAAACTAGTACTTGTCATCCTTTTCCCAATGAGGGTGGCAGAATGCAGTGGGGAATTACAGACTACTGTTAGAGATCAGGGAAACAAAGTAACTGAAGAAACTACGTCACCAAGATTCTGACCTCAGTTCTTGGAAATGTGCCAAATAAGCTAAGAAGCTATCCTTCTGTAGGTCAGACCACGTAAAGGTGGTTTTAGGTGAGTCACAAGCCATTTCTGCCTGGCCTTATTCTTTGACCTATCACAGAATGCAGCTCAGCCATCCCATATGGCTTGGAGTTCCAGATGCCCATCAGCAGCTGGGGTAGTTGTAGAGATAAGTGCCACGGGAAGATACGGGTGATTCAGATGCTCAGAGAACAGGCTCTTTCTGTCTTTATCTTCTGCCATCCTTAGTGGTTTGCCTCAGTCATGTGTTTGGGGTAGGGATCAGGACACCTGTGATGATTTTATTTAGATAATTTAATATCTGAAGTAAGAAAAAGCAATTTGTAGGGTACTTGCTAATTGATGGCAGAACAGATGCCTAACTCAACTCTTATAGTAGCCCTTGAATACACCATGAGCTAATACAAAGTAACTTTTTTTTTTTTTTTTTTTTTTTACAGAGTCTCACTCTGTCACCCGGGCTGGAGTGCGGTGGCATGATCTCGGCTCACTGCAACCTACAACTCCGGGGTTCAGTCAGTTCTCCTGCCTCAGCCTCCTGAGTAGCTGGGATTACAGTGCCCACTACCAAGCCCAGCTGATTTTTGTATTTTTAATAGAGACAGCGTTTTACCATGTTGGCCAGGCAGGTGATATGCCTGCCTGAGCCTCCCAAAGTGCTGGGATTACAGGCATGAGCCACCACGCCGGCCCAGAAGTAGCTTTAATAACAGATACTAATGACATTTCCATTTTGTTAAACAGTGAGGACAAGTGAAAATATGCATAGGACCAAAACATTGCTCTAAATGAAAGCTCAGTTCTAATACCATACTTCTTAAGTACCTTGCCAAAATATCAGTGTATTTAACAATACCTACCACATTAGGAATTGCAAGATGTACTTCACTTTTTATAAAGGAAATAGTATCTTCTGACCGCTTTCGTCCATAATGGCTGCAATGAGATGGACATTCAGCTGATGAACCTTAACCTAAAATTTCATTAATAGTTTATCATGCTACAAAATTCGGTCTTAACAATAAAGGCCATTTTTAAAGGGCTAAATTACACAAAGAGAATATTACTTCTTTTGTTTTTTTTTGAGACAGAGTTTCTCTCTTGTTACCCAGGCTGGAGTGCAATGGTGCGGCCTCGACTCACTGCAACCTCCGCCTCCTGGGTTCAGGCAATTCTCCTGCCTCAGCCTCCTAAGTAGCTGGGATTACAGGCATGCGCCACCATGCCTAGCTAATTTTTTATTTTTAGTAGAGGCGGGGTTTCACCGTGTTGACCAGGATGAGAATATTACTTCTAATAGAACCCTAAATTGCAGAGAACTAAGAAAATCCAGTGACCTAATAGTTTTAGAAGTAAAATACTAATCTCATATACATTGTCTGCTATTTTAATGTTGTGCTTTCTCAGTAATAACCTTTAACGATGTTTACTAAAGGCATCCTTTGTTCGCAGCCCTCCAACAGATATAGGACAAGATTACCAACAAAAAGCATATACCTTTATATGCTTTTTTATCTATATTTTTAAAGATTAAACAGGAAGTTTCTGGTCCATGCCTTCCAAAAACTGCTTTGTTAAACAATATCACTCATGCACAGACAGCAGCACAGACGCCCGAGTCCAGTTATGAAGGACACACGCAGAGCTGCAAATTAGTCTGGCTAGCATAGCTCCCTCTGTCTTAACCTCTACCCCTATCCCAGAGAAAATTAACAATAAATGCAAACTCTCCATTCCCTTTTTCTCTAGGAGTGCAAGAAATACTGTCATTACTGAAAACCTCCATCTCCATTTCTAAATACAAGCGGATGGGCGCAGGCGGGGATCACAAGAAACATAGAGAACACAGGTCAAAAGTGAAGACCCAACATTTAGCACTCAGGGCCAGTGGTTCCCAGATAAGCATAGTATTGAAAAGGACTCTGGACAAAAGCAAGCAAGCAGACAGAACCCCTCAATTCATAGTTTCCCAGTGAAATTCAAGATGTCACAATAAAATTGGTGTAGGCATTGATTCAAAGTGTGTAATTTGAGAATAAGAGTTTTCATAAAGTATAAAGGAACAGATGAGTAATAGAGGCAATGAACAGCATATTAGATCTTTTGGTACTTTACACAGCAAATTAGAGAATCACCTTAAGGTATTCTCCAAAATTTCAGATGCAAAATACAAAGGGAAGGTAAGAATAAGTAAAATTTATTGAATGCTTAATGTATGCCAGGCAGTTTCCATAATTACCAGTTTATGTTCACACAATTCTGTAAGGCAGATCCTATGATTACTGTTATTTCTACATTGTAGATAAGAAAACCAAGGTAGGGAGAGGTTAGGTAATTTCCAGAGGGTCACTCTGCTCAGAGATGCTTACTACCTAGATACAGCATGTGAATACTGTGTAGATATGGGAAATTAAAGCAAAGCACTCCTTTCACCTTAAGAATAGGCTTATTTTTTTTCATCTTGAAAAGATTCTCTGTGTGCCTGACAGGATTAATGGGGGAAGAAAATCAGCTACATCTGAATATACAATTTGTGAATTTCAATAATAAAAGAGAAATCCTGTAAGCATCAAAACAAATAGAGGTTGTTAGTTGGAAAGGAAAATCTGATTAGCAGAGAACTTTCCTCTAAAAATGGAAACCAAAGAAGCCAATGGAGCAGCCTCTGTAGAGTATGAGGGAAAGGGATTATGATCCCAGAAGACAAAACTAGCATTCGTGTATGGGGATAAGAGAAAGACATTTTAGACAAGTAAGGATTTTGAGTATTATACTCATGTATGGCTCCTCAGAAAATGCTGAATTTCAACAGAACTTGTAAATCAACATGGCATAGTGAGTTCATACTTCAAAAAAGCTTCTTTTTGTCAAACACATCACAATCACAGATGGGAGATAGGGATGTGAGAATGCTCAAATACAAGGTAAGCATCTCCATGGAGTAGAAATGTAGAGAGACACAAGGACAGCCTGGCCAGGGTTCTGGGCTAGAAAGAGGCAGCGACCATGGGAGGTTGGCTCTGATGGAATGCAGAGGAGGAACAAGACTCCATGCAGGATGGGGGCTCAGCCAGCCTCACTACTTGAAGCCAAAAACTAAGATGATGCTCTCCCACCTGTCTTGCAGATGATGCTGCAAGGCAAGGGCTGTCAACCTACTACCTGCAGCTGTGGCTTTTCCAGAAGATGTGGAGGTGGGGCAAAAGAAGCACATCCACAGCTTCCCTGATAAGCACCTAAGTCAGGCCACACGTGTGCTCCCTGGCCAAACCTGCCATACCCCCAGTATGTCTCCAGGGGCCAGTAACCGTGAAGAAATAAGACCTGGTTCTGTACTCAGGATTCCAAGTGTTATTTGGAGGCAAAAGTAAAACTCCTAGATAGGGAGGGAGAGAAGGAAAAAGAAACACAAAAACAAAGCTCTCACTCAAAGAGAGCCTGCACATTAAATCCAAGTATGCGTGTATACGTCTAAGGGTAAGAAAGAGAGCTAACGAAATCCAAAACTGAAACAGAAACTCACTCCAGATAAAAATTAATGTCCAGATAACAAGCTCTAAAGTAAGGATACTGAAAATGTTCAAAGAGATGTATGAAGATGATCTTCCAAAAAATAAAAAAATAAATTGCTAAACTAAAAAGGCAGGAATAATACCATATCTGAAGGAAAAGGAAAAAGTATTTTTTCTTGAAATATTTAAAATGTCACAGATGATAAAATCTTTAGAATAGATACAGAGATCCTTGCCCATAATGTATTTCAGAAAGGCAAGAATATAACATAGGTGACAGAATCATTAGGTGACAAGGAGAAGAGACTGAGATGCCCCAACGTATGAAATGACCACATGTCCAGTGTGCCCAGGACAGTTCCAGATTCGCCATGTCCTGGCACCTCATCTGAACAATGCCCCTTCAGTCACAGAAGTGTCACAGTTGGAGCAATAAATTATTTGGTCACTCTGTTCAACTTTCCATTAATACGAGTTCCAGAAGAAGACAATGAAAGAATATCCTAGTAGCAATAACTAAAGGGGAAATTGCTGAGGTTTTTTCCAGCATTAAGGAAAGCTATCAACCCGCAAATAGAAAGTATACTCTGAGAACAAAGCTGGATTAAATAAAGACAAATCCACATGGGGTCAGGAAACTGCAGAAACATTAAGGATTGAAAGAGAATATTCAGTTAGACTCATGCAGACTTCTCATCAGCAGCAACATAACTCAGAAAAAAATGAATACTTACCAAACGCTAAAAGACAAAGAAAAATTTTATATCCAGTCAAAATGTTAGAAAGTATGAGGGCAAAACATTTTCAGACTTACAAAGAAGGATAAGAGCATATTCTTCTCACAAATCCTCACTAAAGAACCAATGGAATACAAAAAAAATACATGAGAACCTGGAGATTTTTTTTTTAATTTTATTTTATTTTAGGTTTTGGGGTACATGTGAAGAACATGCAAGATTGTTGCATAGGCACACACGTGGCAGTGTGATCTGCTGCCTTCCTCCCCATCACCCACATCTAGCACTTCTCCCCATGCTATCTCTCCCCAACTCCCCTCCCCCCGCTGTCGCTCCCCTATTTCCCCCCAACAGAGATTTTAATAAAATATGCCAGTAAATAAATTATTTTAATATATTATTTTTGAGTGTTCACACAAAGGTAAAACTAAAACATCAAACAGCAATAAAGTACGTATGGTTCAGTGAGTAAAGCCTGCCAAGGCCCTTGTAGTCAAAAATAAGACGAGAAACTGCAAAACTAAGGACAGTACCTTTTTTTTGTTTTTTTTGTTTTTTTGTTTGTTTTGTTTTGAGATGGAGTCTCTCTCTGTTACCCAGGATAGAGTGCAGTGATACAATCTCAGTTCACTGCAACTTCTGCCTCCTAGGTTCCGGCAAATCTCATGGCTCAGCCTCCCAAGCAGCTAGGACTACAGGCACACACCACCATGCCTGCCCATTTTGTTTTTTTTGTTTGTTTGTTTGTTTTTTGAGTTGGAGTCTTACTCTGTCACCCAGGCTGGAGTGCAGTGGAGTGATCTCAGGTGATTGCAACCTCTGCCTCCCAGATTCAAGCAATTCTCCTGCCTCAGCCTCCCTAGTAGCTGGGACTACAAATGTGCACCCCCACATTTGGCTAATTTTTGATGTTTCACTATGTTGGCCAGGCTGGTCTCAAACTCCTGACCTCAGTGATTCACCTGCCTTGGCCTCCCAAAGTGCTGGGATTACAGGTGTGAGCCACTGCGTCTGGCCAGTACTTTTTTTAGTTGGAGCAAAACATGTGCATTCTAAAGTTAAGTGTAATCACTTAAGGAACTAAAGTACAGAAAAGAGAATAAATGATGAAAATTATCTACCCCAAAGACAACAGTCATAATAAAATGAATAGATACTGAGATAGATACACAGAAAAAGGATACTGAGAAGAGAAAACAAACTAAAATGTCATAAATTAAGTGCAACTATATCGAAAATCACAATAAATGCAAACAGATTAAACTCACTAAGACAGAGATAATGAGATTGAAGGAAAATTATCATATATACAATGTTTTTAAAAGGTAAAACCAAAAAAATATAGAGAAAGGTTTAAATAAAGAGACTGAAACAATTATACAAAAAAGTTGGGAAAGTAAATTAACAACAAACTAAAGAGAATTGTGAGGAATCAGGATTAATGTAGATAAAGGGATTCATCAAATAAAAATAAAAGGAATAGCCCTCTTAAGCAGATTTAACTACTATGATCTTGTATGTACCTAACAACACAGCCATAAAATACATAAAACGAACTAACCAAAACAAGGAAACTTTGATAAATTCACAATCACACTGGGAGAGTTGACCAGGACAAAATCAGCAATGAATAGCCAAGGAATAAATCTTAAAAAAAAAAAGTGCAGAACCTTTACACAGAGAATTATAAAACATTACAGATAGATATTAAAGAAGACTTATACCAATGCAGAGATAATAGAAGATTCAATATTTGTAAGGATGCTAATTCAGTCCAGATTGATCTATAGATTCAATGAAGCTTAAATAACTCCCCCACCCGACCTCACAACTAAGTTGATTTTTCAACAGCTTTTGCTTAGTCAACTAATTAACCATATGAAAAAAATATATTAATTTGCTGCCTCACACTAAGCATAAAAATCAATACCATGTAAATTCAATCCCTAAATATAAAGGTCAAAGCCACAAAACTTTTGGAAGACATTATGAAGTAGGGAAAAGTTGGTTTCTTTAAAAAGACCACAAATCACTAAGATTGATAAACTTGAATATTTTTAAAACTCAGCAATGGAAAATGAAAATAAAGAAAACGAAAAGATAAGGCAAAACTGATAAAAGACATTTGTTATAATTTCATCAATAATGGTGGATAAATGTATATATTAAAAATACTTATTAATTAATCCAATTCAATAGAAAAACAGGCCAAAAAAGGAACACAAATTTTAAGGAAGAGAAACAACAAATGACCCATAAGCACAAGAAACTACGTTTAATCTCATCAGTAACCAGGAAAATGCAAGCTAATCCCGATGAGATGTGATTTCACACCCTCTATGTTGGCAACAATATTTTAATCTAATAATACTGTCTGAAGGGATTAGGGGCCGTGGGCACTCTCACTAGGCACTGCCTGATAAAATGAGGCATGCAGATACCCTAGGACCCTGCAAACCCACTCTTAGCAGGTGCAGCAGGAGACAGGTACAAGATGCTCACAGAAGCTTTATTCATGCTAGCACAAACTGAAGCAACCCAAATCACCATCACCAGTAGAATGGATAAACAGACTGTGTATACTCTAACTACACAGAAGTGTAAAAAACTATACCCCATGGATTAATCTCAAAAACATTATATTGAGCACAGTTCAAATACAAGCAAACTTAACTGATACATGGGTTGGGGATACAAAAACGTAGTGAACCGTGAGGGAAAACCAAGACAATGATAAATACCAGGTTCAGGATAGTGGTTACCTTTGAGTTAGAAGGAAGAGGACCCATTAAAGGGACTAGTAGCCTTTTTTAATCTCAGGCAGGGTGTTGGGAACATGGGTGTTCATTTGACCACAGTTCTTGCAGTATTACACAAATATTTTCATACAGTTTTTTAATGAATGCTATATTTTAAATTTTATAGTTTTTTAAAAATAAATTTGTAAAAATGCTATTCACATTTTAGTATGATAAGTATGGTTACCAGACATAATTAGCATACTTTCAACTTACCTTGCAACAAATATTCTTCTTTTCATTGTGTCCAGAGATAACCGTGTAGCTTTTTGAAGACTGTCTAGTAATTGATGAGAGAAAAAAGCAAAGACCTCTTTACATTCCTGTAATAAGAAATCAGATTAAATTTGGTATCTCTCCTCCAAAAAAAACCTTGAGCATCCCCAAAACAATGATATAATATTAGAAGTGACATGTGAAAGGCAAAAAATAATAAACTATACAATTTCAATCCCAAATTATTTGTCTGTTATTTTTAGACAAATAAGAATATATGAAAACTGAGTTTGCATAAGCACCCTAACAAACCAGAGGGACTTATTCAAAAGTCGAAATTCACAAACAGTATGTTCAGAGTAATCCCGGTTTGCTCAACACTCAATTTTCACCTAACAAAACTGAAGCACTTTAAATGTGGTACATTTCTCAATGATTAAGGGTCTGGGCACAAGAAGATAACTGGTCTCCATTCTCAAGAAGCTCCGCTTAGTGGATAAATGTATTTTAAAATGTACAATACCCAAATACATGAGATAAAAATTCTACCCTCTGGGACCACAGTTTGACCCTCTCTTCACACCCTTCCTTCCCTTGGAAGAAGTAACCAAGTTTACCGATCAAAGCACAGGACAGGTTTTGAGCCTGGTAGGCAAAGGTGTGGGCCCATGTCTTGCTTATACAGTGAGTCACACATCAGGGCAAGGCTCTGACCATACTGCTCCTCACTGCTCTAGAACCCAACCCCTCTGAAACTGGGTTGGTGAGGCAGGTTGATTGGGATCATAAGAGAGAGCAATAAGGCATGGACAAAGAAGAATATCAAGCTTTTCCATGTGGCAATGAGATACAGTCAGGCCTGGTGAATTATCAAGCCAAAGATGTGACATAATCAGATTTTTATGTTAAGACCATTCTGGCACCAATGTGGGAGATGAATTTGAGAGGCAGAGGCTATTTAGGAGGTGACAACTAATGCAGCTCCAGTGATCTCCCAACTGGAGAAGTTCTGTACATACTCGGTCATGCTCTAAGGACTTCAGCCAGTGTCAAAAGGGAATGCAACCAGAAGACAAGGACTTCTGAGAAGGGAGTACTCCAGCTGACACCCACTGGTTGCTAACAGCTGCCTGGTGCATGGTATTGAGAAGAAGCCTAAACTCTGCAGAAATCTAGATGCTGCAGAAAAGTGTTTCCCAATTATCTGGCAATATCATCCTTGAGAGCAAGAAGGTGAAATTGGAATAAATGTGTGCCATTTATTTATAAAACTGTATCAAAGTGTGTAAAAGTGGGTAAAATAGAGAAAGAATGAAAAGAAGGTGGGTATGAATGATTAAAAGAAAACTACTCAAGGAAGAGAAAGCAGGAATGAGCGTAAATGTGGGAGTGACATTCAGAGTTCATGCATGACCGGAAGGGTAAGGCCTAACAAGGAAAAAGAAACCCCAGGACACCTTCTGAACCTTTATTCTCAGCACATTTCAACACAATGTGAAAATCTACCTATCTAGGGCTTCTCCTGGGGGAAGAGTCCAGTTCAAAATGCAAATCCCTGGGCCCCAAGTGAACCACAACCTGGACTTGCAGTACAGATAGCCATTAAACACAGTAACTGAGAGCAGAGTTCTCCATTCTAAGTCAAAATGATTGCTGCCCCAATCCCTGAAGTCACATTTACTATACGAGAAAACATGGTCAATCACAATAAGGGGAGCTGACTACATAAACTGTAACTGACAGAATCACGTCAAAAGATGATATTTGGGAAAACTTAAAGGATTGCCTGATCCTACAGTATAAAATTGAAAAATATACTTTCTGGATTTTGTTATAAATTAGATACAGATTGGTTGCAGAATTGCCTGGAAGAAGCGCTATATGGGGTTATCTATAATCTTATAAGTCATAATTCTGTGAATTGCAAGAAGTTGTTCCACAATAAATACCTTTTTAAATTCATCTTCTTTATCATTAATATCAACCTCATTCACAATATTAGCTTCATAGTCATTGCTTTCACCTTCTTCTGTTTCACTCCCAAAAACAACATGTTTCCGCTGTTCTACAGACAAAAGACAAAACAAAAATATAACATTTGACTTTTTAGCCTTATGTGTATTCTCCATGGCCAAATCCTCTTAGGAAGCTCCTTTTTAAAAAGCTCTTACTTTAAAAATTGTATTATGAACAATGGTTTTTTGCATTTCTTCCTGTAGGAGTCATCATTTATTTCAATTTAAATTATCCACCTCGGATCGATCCAAGATGGCCGTTTAGGAACAGCTCAGGATTGCAGCTCCCAGTGAAAGCGCAGAGGGGGAGTGGACGCCGCATTTTTATTGCCCACAGACTAGGCGATTCCCAGACGGAGGAGCTCCACCGGTCACCAGCGCGGCTGTTTCAGCCAGTGCGGCTGTGCCGGCCGGTGCCGCTGCTTTCCCCGCGCGGCTGCTTTGTCGGCGACCCGGAGCAGCGGTTCTCCCTACAAAATACACCAGTCTGGGTGCCCTTTTGGCTGGCGATTGGAGCCACAGGGAGTCGCCCATTCATCTGTTTAAAAAGGGGCCTGAGCAGGGAACCAGGACAGTAGATTCCAGGGCAAAAAAAGCGCCATGAATCTCAGTGCCGCTGTTTAAGCCAGCACAGTGAGTTGTTGCACGGGAAAAAACACATACCGCGGTGCCTCTTCAACAGGTGACGGGAACACCAACTTAAAAAAAAAAAAAAAAAAGGCTCTGAGGCAGGGAGCCAGGCGATCAGGCTCGGCTGGTCCCACCCCCACAAAAGAACAGCAATCAGAAACTCTCTGGATTGAGAGTTTCACAGCAAGCGCAGCTGAACCCTGGACGGTCCAGCTCTGTAGGGGAGGGGCGTCCGCCGTTACCAAGGCAGCCCACCACTACGGAGGTAGTCAGCCAATGCTGAAGCAGCCCACCGTTGCCAAGGCAACCTACCGTTGCTGAGGCAGCCGCTGTTGCCAAGGCAACCTGCCACTGCAGAGAGGCTCCACCTTAACAGAGGCGGGACACCATTGTCTAGGCAGTTCTAACTACACCCATAAAAACAGGATTGCAGGGAAGTTCACTCGGCAGCTGCGCAGAGCCCACAGCAGCTCAGCAAAGCCTCTACAGGCAGACAGTGACTAGGCTGCCTCCTTGCTGGGCAGGGCAGCTCTGAAGGAAAAAAAAAAGAAGGCAGCAGCATAACAGGAAACTCATAAAGCCCTAAATCCCTGGGACAGAGCACCTGGGAACAAAAAGCGGTTTATGAGTTCTGCTGCAGCAGACCTAAACGTACGTGCCCAGCAGCTCTGAATGAACAACGGAGCTCACAGCTCAGCATTTGAGCTCCTATAAAGAAGAGACTGTCTCCTCAAGCAGCTCCCTGACCCCTGTATATCCAAAGACCCACTTCATAAAGGAGAGATCAGATTGACACTTGGCAGGTACCCTTCTGGGACAAAGATAGCAGAAGAAGAAAACTGGTAACAACCCTTACTGTTCAGCCGCTCCTGCAGGTGATCCCCAGGCAAGCAGGGCCTGGAGTGGACCTCAGCAGACATACAGCAGAGGGGCCAGACTGTCAGAAGGAAAACCAAGAAACAGAAATAACCTCATCATCAACAAACAGAACATCCACTCAGAGACCCAATCTGAAAGCCAGCAACTACAAAGACGACAGGTGGATAAATCCATAAAGACGGGAAGAAACCAGCACAAAAAGGATGAAAACACCCGAAACCAGAACACCTCTCCTCCTAAAAGGGATCACAACTCCTCACCAGCAAGGGAACAAGGTTGGATAGAGAGCGAATGTGATGAAATGACAGAATCAGACTTCAGGAAGTGGGTAGTAAGAAAATTCTGTGAACTAAAAGAACATGTTCTAACCCAATGCAAAGAAACTAAGAACCTTGAAAAAGATTTGACGAAATGCTAATGAGAATGGACAAAATAGAAAGGAATATAA